GAATTGGTAGGTGAAATTAAAGGGGATGAAGATGGAAAAATTTGTCTATGTGCCTATTCATGCGAATTTAGAGATAGATTAAGAGGGGGAGACATAAATGTATTTAATTGGAAATAGAAATGAATAATAATAATAATAACTATAAAAAAATTTGTACTGAGGTAATTCAAATATTCATCTGTGTCAGCGTGTTAGATTGTAAGTTATATTTGTAAGAAACACCTGATCAGATTAGCTTATAGTCTATCGAAAGACTGTACTTTTCCCGTATGAGAACAAGGTGTTTATCTATGTGTCAGCATTCAGTGTTTGATTACAATGCATTTAAAGAATCAAATTAGGATTTCATCGCCTTTAAATGATGATCCATAGCAGAATGAAGTCAGGTTTTTTTGGTTTTGGAGTACATTTTAATTCAAGTAGTCATGTATTCACCGATTAGCTCTTGTTCGTATAAATCGTGTCATGAAATATTATTATTTGTCATCACTTCTATTGAGTTACAACTTTGTTTATTTGATTTTCACGAAACGTTACAATGTTCAATGTCATTTTCTTAATTTCACCAGTTTGTTTTTTTAGCACGGGAAGGGGAGGGATTAACGGGTTTGGAGTTGTGTTGTGAAACCTCAGACTGCAACATTTAATTACTGTTAAGAACTGATTGCTTCTGTGGTTATTTCCATCCCATTAACGTTTTCAATAATGAGTTAAATTTAGGTTATTGAACAGTATTTGATTTATGATCCCCACTCAGTGTACTCAAGATTTTATACAATGTAGTTACAATTCAGTTTTGTGATTGAGTATATTGTCCTTATTATTTACTACATGACCAATAAATAAGAATTTATAGTTTTCTACTTCGATGAAAACCTTAAGCAATACAGACTTCGGATGCGATTACTGAAACATTGCGAAATGGTCGCGCTATATCGTAAATTGGCAGAAGTAAGAATTCATGGGCCATTGGATCGGGTCCCAGTGGCTCAATGGTCTACGAGCTCGCCTTGTAACCAGAAGGTCCTGGGTTCGAATCCCGGCGGGTGCGTACTGATGAAGAGTCCCAAACTAGGACGAAACAGCTGTCCAGTACTCCCAGGTTTTCCAATGGTTCTCTAACCAATGTCAGCTCATGATGAAATCCTCCATGCAATCAAACAAAAATCCCTACAAAACCAATACTTGAAAATTTCTGAAGCAATTGTCGTGTTCATCGATTTCCATAGTTTATCATTTGACTTTAGTAGATAGTGAACATTGTCTTCAAAATGAATCACTTAATAAAGAAAGAAAAATCATTTTCACTCATTTTATTCAATTATGCACTTATTTTCAATTTATTCAGTTAAGTATATTTGCCATTTTGTGTGTGAGTAAGCTTTCTTTCGAGTGGCTTAAAAAGCTTTGCTGATCTTCTTTCCTTTATCATAATTACTAGTTTTGTGATAGACTTTATGTATTTCCACTGTTCTATTTTTCTTTAAACATGATAACAGAAACTTTGATACATATATATATATATATATATACATATGATTGGGAGTATTATTAGGGTGCACCATAAATAAAGGAGTTATCTGCTACAGAAATCTGTTTTCGAATGCTCTTAAAACATCTATAAGTTAGTAAATTGGTGTTTATGCTAAATGTGTCGAGTTCGCATGCCATTTTATCCAAATCGTCTTTAGGTATACGCCTAAAAGTAGTTGTATGCATGTGACCTAATGTGAGGGCG